ATGGAAGCTACTATAGTATATTACTTGGTGGAAGGGCTAGGGATGGCTGAGAGCTGTACACAAGCTTCGTTGACAGGATCCAGTTGCATTTTGCTTCGTGCGTTGCGTGGGAATATTTGGCCCAAGAGAGCTTCATGTCGCTGGTTTGTCGTTAACTTGAGTGTACGCAGTGCTTCTTCTCATAGTCTTTTGACTGAAGTAACGCGATCCTGCACACAATCTATGTCCGTCAGGTTTGGCCCGCCTTGATTGATCGATAACATGAAAGTCTGCTAATGAGGGCTGGATTGAAGCAGCGTGGCAAGGAGTAAGGACTCCTTAGCATCCAGAGAAAGAGGCCACACAGAATGTATGCAAGCTACACTGCCCTGTGTAGTCCGCCTGAAGTCAATGTAGACCTTCATCTTCAAGGATCCATGTCTCAGCTCCGCTCAGATTCCCTCAAGGGGGTTTTCTCAGGGGGTCTCTACGAAACCTTCACATAAAGAGCCCAAACTAGTAAAGGTCATTTACATTGCGCGGATTCTTAGCCTTGCTCAGCGCAGCCCCGGGTTCATGACGAACCGCCCGCCAGCGCCGGGGACCTATGATCCCAGAGATTGGAAATGTCCCAACTGTTGCTTGGTTGCAGGGTTAGTCGTACTTTAGGTCTTGTGTTCAACCCAAAATTACTTAGTCCCAGACATGACCTAGGCAAGACATTGAACTTCAAAAAGCGGAAGAACTGCCTGTCATGTGCGACGGAGAGACCGCCACAAACCAAAGATCAAGTCATGCCTGCCCCTTGGCTAGACAGCAGAACCCAGACCCCCCACAGTGATCTAGAGATCAGATCCCCCTATAGGGATTCAATAGTGGTTGTATGGTTCATGTAGAGCATCTAGTTTTTAGATCCCCCAGGGGTCTGGGAACTTTGAATTCTTTAAGATTAGTTGTTGGAAAGAGGGAAGTTGTTTTTGGGCACTTGACTGCCTTTCCTGAAAGCTGCCAGGGTCAACATGTGAGCTATATTCTGATCTCCTTACTGGGTTATATAGGGGGTAGTATATAGGGTTGATATTGTGGGGATCATTAAGGGTGATAGTGGGAGTTTAAAGTATAGTTCATGTCACAATCAAAAACTTACAGGTTTCTAGCACAGAATAAGGGAATATCTTATATAGGGGTCATCTCGGGATTGTATTCCCTAATTCCCTACAACAACCGGTAAGAAACGCTTGTTTCCTGCCATTTTTGCATCCTAAAACGGTTGGTTTTCTGGTACCCCTTTGCAATCCCCAGCAACCCGAAACCATCCTAAGCCTTGTCAAGTAAAGCCCCAATCCGTGTTTCCAAAGGACTGGCGCACGGGCAAGAAAGACTGCGGAGCCAATGTGAACGCCGACTGGACTTGCCGTCCTTGCGGCAGATTCTGGGGCATGGTCTTAAGTAGCGTGTTTAAGGTGTATGGTTCAGGATCAAAGGATTTAGGCTGCAGGTTTCAGATGACAGGAGGAAGAAAGCCTACTTTCTCCCAAACATGGAATCCCATTTGGACTGTTAGTTTTTTTTTCAGCTTCTGCACTAGTTTCTGTGGCACATTGTTCCTTGTCATTTGTGCAAGGGAGGGTTTTGCAGCCCCAAAAGGTCTTGCAACCGTAAACGCCAAGCCCTGAGCCTCACACGAAAACCCAAGCGAGAGGGAAAAACGTAAACTCTCAAGAGTAGTTCCGATCTAATTTTCCATTTGATTCTCCATCAGTAGTAATATGTCCCCATCTTATCCCAAATAAGCCCTATATATCCTCATACAATCCCTGTCTAGCCCTTGATATGTCACCCCTACAATCTCGTAACCTTATACCCTAAACCCTAAATAGTAGCTTCCACTTCCTTTTCCATTATCCCCTAAACTCAGAACCCTAAACCCTAAGCCCTAAATATCCCAAAAGCAGAAAAAGGATTCAACTTTGGCACCGAGAGATTCTGCACTGCATGCTGCTGGGCCCTGAACCAAACTTTGGTCGAATTTAGGGTTTAGGGGTCTAGGGGTCTAGGGGTCTAGGGGTCTAGGGGTCTAGGGGTCTAGGGTTGGGGGTTCAGGGTTCTAGGGTCTAGGGGTCTAGGGTTGTGGGTTCAGGGTTCTAGGGTTCAGGGGTCTAGGGTTTAGGGTTCAGGGGTCTAGGGTTATAGGGTTTAGGGTTTAGGGGTTAAGGGTTTAGGGTTTTGGTTGCTGGGCTAAGGGGTTTGAGTTGGGGCCTAGGCGTGTGAATTTTTCAGGGTTAAGAAGGTCAATCGTACGAAGCGTTGTATGTACAGGGTGTGGAGGCAACAGCGCGAAAAGTCGGATCTTTGGCAGGAATAGACAGTAGAAATCAAAGCCGTGATGGTACTATACACTTGACAGATTTCTGACAAGAAAAAGCAGTTGAAAAAGTGACAAGACAAAACCATGGCAATAAAGCCACCAATGAAGAGAGCGACGACAATGACACTCATCTCGTTGACATGAAGAAAAATCAGAGAAAGGTGTCCTGAGAAGGTCCTTGCAGTGTTGACTTCAAGGAAGTGCAAAATGAAGTTTCCTGGTCTCAGAGTCCTACAGGTTCAGCTGAAAGGTTTGTCTTCCGCTTAAAAGCCGAAACCATCCCTACAACTGCTTTCCTGCTTTGGCGCCTCAACAAGGCCCAACGGCCCTGAGCAGCCCGTCACTGGCTTCTGCAGAACCCTAAGCTTTTAACCCTAAACCCTAAACCCTACACACTTCCATGCAGTGTTGACCTTGCAAGCTCTGAAGCTGTTGAGAGTGATTTTGGAACTTCCGAAGCGCGGAGACAAGGAGGATCTGGAAGAGAAGGAGGAGGGATATAGGATTTATATAGGGATAATGAAAAAGAAAACGGAAACTAATATATCATAATTGGGTATATATAGGGTTTATATAGGGATAGACAGAGTGAGGGAGGGAGAGTCCTGGTGCCCAGACTTCTGGGAGTGCAGTGCTTGCAACAATAATAATAATAGTAATAATAATAGAGTATAACCCCTATATAAGCCTACATAATATAGTAGTTTCCATTTTCTTTTCCATTATTCCCTATAGTCGTCCCCTATACAACCCCTAATGTGTAAGAAGAAGACCTCTCCAGTAGTGTGACTTTGTTGTTTCATTGTTGGCATGAGACATGCTGCAGACTGCAAACCTTAATCTCCACGATAATTTGGAACCCATAGAGAGAATCTCAAGATCCCAAGACGAATCCGGAAAAGCTGAGGCAAAACAAAAACACTTTGGTTTGTGTCTTTTTGCTCTTCATCTGGGTAAAAAATTGCTTCAGAGCCCTAAGCCCTAGGCGAAAAGCAGAATTTCAAGGGCCTGAGCCCGAGCCACAAGTTATCTTACATAAAGTCAAAAACTGCCATAACCAAGCTCTAATTTTTTGTGCCGAGGCAAGCCCGAACCTCGAACTGAGACAAAGCCCTGTAAACTTTGTGGCAATAATCAGAAAGTAGGACCCTGCCATCCAAACTGTGCGCTTCCATAGACAATAGCACAAGGCCCAAATCCGCAAACCTAAGCCCAAAACTCGAATCCCCTTGTGCGCGCTAACCCAGACATCTGAGGATTCAGAAAGTGGACCCCTCAAAAGGTACCCCATGCTATGATTAATTGATTAACAGGGATGTGCCTTGTAGATCCTTAGAAAGGGTTTGCAAAGGCAAGAAGGAGAATCCCAATTGGGTCGATGCCCCAGCGCCGGTGACGAGCGAAGGCCTGCCTCTTGTCAAGTTGATTCGTTGCCCCTAAATATTATGATATTCATTATTAGTATTGATATTATTTTTCCTACTATTATTATTCTTATTACTGAGTATTACACGTTCACCATTCCCGAGCCTCAGCTATGCCCTAAGGTCACCAAGTGCTGCCCAATCACATTACAACACAAGAGAACTCCAAGATCACTTTCAGAAACATAAGAGACATCAATTACTCCAGCACTCCACGGGCAGTCCAAGACGAACACCATTCTAAGAGCAGTCTCACAGCAGCCCAAGAAGACTGAAAGACTTCACAACCACTCCAAGATGAGACCACGTGACTATTTCTAACCCATATATAACCCATTGTAGTAGTTTCCATTTTCCATTATCCCAATGTAACCCCAAAATGTAAGGAAGACCGTTTCAAGCTCCAAGAGCATTCCAATAGCACTCCAAGATCACACGGGCCATGTGAGGATGCTCCACGCCAGAGCACGATTTCCAAATTACCAGGGTGCCCCATTCTAGAACGCCATTTCGAGGCATGGAGGCAGCAACATCAACGACACTCCTGTACTTGTCGAAGAGTTCGGCAATGAACAAACATTTTGGTGCGGAAAAGACAACAGGTCAGCACCTTGAGACTGGCAGGATCACGCGCGAGACCCAAAATTGCGAGGATGCTCCACGCAGCACCTGGGCAGAGGATTCGCTGAACAGCATCACGACAAAGAGCAAAAGTTTGAGGACGACTGGCCGGCCGCTCCAAGCGCGCACCGCAACCAACTCCCCTTCACCGCGGCCAGAAGCCCCTTCTGTTGACAGATTGTTTGGGGAAATACCCCTTTTGAAGCCCACATATATACTAGGGGATGCATTCGATGGTGGCGGGGTGCTTGTGTTCAAGTGCTCGGCTCCTTACAAAACCCATATAATACAGTCTTGTATGCTCTGGGCCCCAAATCCGAAACCCTAAGCCGGAGCTCTGAATCCTAAACCCGAACCACCCCTAAGCCCTAAACATAAACCAAAACCCTGAAACCCTGAAACCCCAAAACCCTACGACCCTAAAGAAAGCCCAGAAGGTGGACGCGTCGGCCGCCTTGGGGGCCACTTCGACCGTCCGGATCCGGATGACGCTTGGCTTGACTGAGTGCCCTCCCCATAACTGCGTTGCTGTTAAGGAACTTAGGTGGTGGTGGTGGTGGTGGTGGTGGTGGTGGTGGTGGTGGTGGTGGTCGTGGGTTTAGGAGGGATCATTTAGGGTTTAAGTTCTTGGGGTTCGGTCTCATTGAAAGAAGGGAGGTGCTCTTTGGATTGCGCAGCTTGCGAATGTTTAGTGGTCCCGGGAATGGATAGATCGTTTAACACGGTCAGTAGTTTGCAGGACTACTAGGTCCCAGGTGGCGTTCCATGTTCTGGAACATGGGAGCCTTTGGTAGTAACACTGGGACTCACGCAGCTTTGGTTTACCAAGCCCTGAATATGTAGCAATCGCTTTTTTGTTTGTCTTGGGCTTCATTATAGGCTTCTTTGTGAGGGGGTTGCAGGTTACGAGCTACATATAGGCGTCTATGGACTGGAGCGGTGTGCCGGGGATTGTAAGGCATGGGCATGGGCGCGGGTAGGTTTTCAGGTTGGTTTACCAAGAGTCCTTATACTGAATGTTGTTGGGCCCTCATTATCATTTGAAGGCTTGGCACGCAGGAAGCTTTAGTTACAGTTGAGGTTTGTCCCAAAAATCTTTGACCATGCTGAGAGACTTCTGAGACAATTGAGCCATCCGAAGACCAACGGCAATGACATATTACTAGGAGACCAACTGCTCATGTTCTTTTTGGCTAAATGTTTTGAAGCCCACGATTGGTGCTTTTACCGTTTTTATTCTCATTGCTGCTAGTTGTGCTAGTGCTGCCGCCACTGTTGCCACTACCACCACAACTTTGGCCGCCGCCGCTGCCACCGTCGTGGTGAGGACAACAGCAACAGCCGCTACAACTACTTGGGGGCGGCGACATGCAAACCGGCGCCAGCACCACCACCGCCGCCGCCACCACCACCGCCGCCGCCGCCGCCACCACCACCACCACCAAACCGCGCTAGCTGCGACTGAGCTGCTTCAGGAGCCCAAAAAGGAATGGAATTCGGACGATGAGGAAGTGGACGAGTTCGGTCGCAAAAAAAGGAAAGGCCGGGCAGAGTGTCCTATGGAGACTCAAGGTTTTGAGACTCAGACTTCAGGGCTTCAGTTTGTGTTGCGTGCGATAGCCCTCTAGGTAGGCCCTGGCCCAGACTCTATGCGCAACTATGCAGGTGCTGCGCGAGCTGGTGGGGCTGCAGCGGCGGCTGCGGCAAAAAAAGAAAAGCAGAAGGCAGCCCTAGAGAGGTTGCGGAGGACCAAGGGCGGGCAGCAGGGACGTGAGTTGCAAATTCTTGTGCTTACTTAGAGTGGTGTGGGACAACTTGAGATCCATTCCTTCAATAGCTTCAGGTTCTTGAATCGGGAGTGTCCTATGAAGGCTGTCCGTGTTAATCTGCGTTTTGTATTTGCTTCGTTTGCTGCGTCCCCACTTTTGGTCAGCAGTCACATTTGAGGGCTGCAGGCTCCTGCGGTCAACGTTTGAGCCGTGGGCATTGCTGGGCCCTGCTGAGCCGCCCTTCTCGTTTACATATCCCCGCATCAAAGCCCCATGACCATCCCTACAGATTCCTCGAGTGACATCTAGAACACGAGTGTCTTGTACGGTAATCCTGCTAATCCGTGATCGTGTTTTCGCAGTACGCTTACTTACCTGCCCGCCCACCTACCTCAGTACCTGTAGTTACTTAATCTTCACGTATCGCCACACGATGCATGCAGAAGCCACCTGCAACACATAAGCCCCCTTAGCCCTGACCTTGCAGCGGGAAGGCCTCAGAGGGGTCGCTCACGGAGCCGTTCGCGATGAGCAAGGCTGGCGTGGTTATCCGTCCACCAGACCTAGCACGGATAGGCAACATTCTTTTGCAAAAATGCGGCCAGTCACTAGCAGGGGCATCACTTACTTGCTGGGCAGGGTCCTGCATTGCCAAGTCTCTCAGCTTGACAGGTATGTGAGAGGCCTTCGGCAGGAGTGGATGTGTCACAAGCATATGCAGTCAAAAGAGCGTATGTCGCATGTTCCACCAAAGACACCGTACATGTGGTGTGACAGCACATGCCATGCCTACGTGCCTGTTCTTTGTAGCTGTGCCTTGAGGTATGCCCTTGCAGAGGATTTGTAGCGGCTGCCGGCACTCCTGACTAAACCTTTTGGTAGCTGTTGAAAGTTTGAGCTGGTGATTGCGAACTGACGCATCCTTGCGTGCGGCACAAGCCTGGTGCAGGACAGGGCGCCTGCTGCATTTCAAGCCATGCTTGGCGCTATGCAGCCCTGTCTTGCTATCTCTGGCAGGGCTCCAGTAAGCCTGGATCTTGAGCCCAGAGTTGCCAGTAAATTGGCACCCAGGCCAAGCAGAAATGGCCAAGCAGCTCCCTTGGTCGTCAAGCGCTTTGCGCATGGTGCGATCATCTCCGCCTGTGTGGCGAGCCTTCGAGCGCGGCACGGGCGCAAGCAGCGCAAGCATGCGGTGGCCAGATCTGCAGCCAGCCTCGACAGTGCTGTAGAGTGCCAGGTCCAAGAGAACAAGGACAGCTTACCTCATTACTTCCCAAGGACAATTGACACTTCAGAGGCAGATGACTCCATCAGTGAGGATATAGTGTCTGGAGATTCTGCTGCAGACATTTGCGAGCTCATTGGCTTCGACATGGGCGAAAGCTTGGACCGCGAGCTTGGAAAGCCTTTCAACGAAGAGGAGCTGAAAGAGGCTTATGCAAATAGTGGCTTTTTTGATGCTAAACCTTCAAAGAAGCCGGCTGCCATGTGGCTCATCGGGCCAAGTGCCTGTGGAAAGTCCACGCTAGCACCTCAAGCTGCGAAATGGGTGGGGATGGAGGAGGAGGGCTACGTTACCGTAGACGGAGAAGCATTTCGTGATGCCCATGGAGGATACAAGAAGGCCATCTTAAAAGGGCGCCAGCATGGATGCGTGTGGTGGGGCGCCTACTTGGGCATTCGGGAGAACATCAATGAGGAAAAGCAGATGCTCCTCGAGTCAGCCATGCAGGAGCGGAAGCATCTCCTCATCCCCAGCACATGCCTAAGACGTTCGCAGTGTGTTGATGTGACCGAGACTTTGAAGCAAGCTGGATATGATATCCACATAATTGGGGTCTTTGGAGACAAAGACACGATCGTGGACCGTGGCCGCAAGAGGGCGTCAAACCAGGGAAAGCGCTACGATCCGCGAGAGTTTGAGCTTGCGTTGATGATGTTTGCTCCCATGCTTCGGTTGTGCGATGGCATGTGGAGGATGGTTTGCACAACAGGACAAAAGGACTGGAATGACCTGCAAGTATCAGGTGGTGGAGAGGGGCCGCTGACGGAGGACGGCGTCAAGCAAATCTGCACTGATGTTTTTTCCATCTACCGGGACGAGTAGGCTCTAGCTTTGTCTGGGTCTCCTTCCCGTGTGTCACATGGCAGAGCACGCGCCTTTCAACATGCTTGACTCCACACTCTAGGGGCCCTCAATTTCGACCCAACATGTTTAGAAAACAAGCCTTCTCCTGTGCTCTCCTGCCACCTTGGACGGTCCTGTTTTTTCAATATCTTAAGTTTCACTATGCGGATGCATTGTTCAGCGGCAAGCGTGAAGCATCCAGCGACTGAAGGTGGAATAAGCTTGGAAATTATCACGGGGACTAGGCAGAGGATTGGAGGCCTAATATAACCCCATCATAGTAATTTCCATTTTGTGTTCCATTATCCTTATATAACCCTATTACAGTAGTTTCCATTTTCTTTTCCATGATATCAATACTTTTGGGCTGGAGATGCCCGCGCCCTGCTGCACATTGTTTGTTCCAGCCTGGCAGTTTTGAGGCTGCTTTCTGGCAATTGTTTTGTGAGTAAAGCCGTGTTTGATGCTCTCAGCGTGGCTACGTATGCACAGAAGGTGCCGACAAAGGCAGACAAGCAGACAGTTCTCAAAAGGAGGCTGCGAAACTCGGAAGACTATCGCTCGTGTCGAGAGGAAAGGCTCGGAAGCAGTTGAAGTTGTTACCTATGTAGGGATTATAGGGTATATATTGGGGTAATATTGGGATAATGGAAAAGAAAATGGAAACTACTTTGTATTGAGAACGGTATGATAAGTATATCAACTCGGTAATGAAGATACCATTAAAAATTGTCTTGGAGCAACTCGAAGTCGCCAGGAGTGCCGTGGCAGCACCGGCTTGGAACCATGCGAGGCATGTTGTTCCTCCACCCTTCAATCAGTTTTGTCAAGGATGTTAAGGAGCTTATACTACAGCTGAGAACTCAAACGCGCACAGTAATGAAGCGAGCTTCTCTGTACATCGCTGTAACCTCGTGGAAGCTTCGTATCAGCAAGACAGTTCTTCCGTTTTCAGCTTTTCCGCTCGAAGCAAGTAGCGCCCCGGAGTTCCACCCAGTGTACTGCCAAGGACAGTTGCAGGAAAGGAGTTTCGATCCTTCATAAGATGGAACAGGTGGTTGAGGCATTTTAGCCTTGGTGTTGTTCCTGGGAAGCACATGAAGCTCCTCTCATTGAAGGGTGGCCATGGCCAGATCCACAGATGTAGCAGTCAGGGAACCCCAACCCAGACCCCAAAATCTTAGAATCCTGCATATAGGGACACAAAAAAGATACCCCTTACTTTGGGAAACCCCTATGTATTCTTAGTCTCCATGGAGCAGCGCCTGGATGCCGATGAGCTGTTTGGGCCAGAAGACTCGGACGACGACGTCCTGGTGGAGGAGGACCCTGGACACCAAAACGAGGCGGAGCATGTTGGGTTTAACGGGGGCTATGCAGAGCATGTAGGGATGTAGGAGGGTTTTCTGACAAAGTATTCAGGGTTCGCATCATCTGCCAGTGAGTGAGTGAGTGAGTGAGTACATGAAGGCCTTCTTGGTGGGGATACTCGTGAGGCTGCATCAGTACTTGGAGCCCTGGGTGTTCATGTCCGAGATGCCCGGGATGTGGAAAGCCGCGTGGTCGACAGCTGCGATGCCAAGCTTCAGCTGCCATCAAAGATGGCCGAACTGACAAAGGCTCAATGGGATTCAGGGGGTGTAGAAAATGGGAAGGTCGGCTCCTATAAGTTTACCCCAAGCACGAATAAACCAAAGGCAAAACCAGCAGAGAGGGTTGCATCCCTCACACCCCTGCTGGCAAATTTTACAAAGGTGGACCGGCAAATTGAGGGCCTTCTGAAGAGTGCGGAGAAGAGGGAGGATTCCATCCCAGCGCTGCAGCATGCGTTAGAAAATCGAGAGGCCTTGCAGATCCTGGCTCCAAACATGGAAACCCTTATGAGCCATAATCTCAATTCCTCGAAGGGGTTATATAGGGATTATACAGGGGAGCATTATAAGGGTTATTACGGGGGATGCTAGGAGTTTAGACTATGGCTCATATGGCGGGTACCTTTTTTTGGGCGGCTGTTCTACTTGGGATTTCAGTAGCTTGAGGGCGAACAATGGGGCTCCCCTTTTTCGGAAACGACACCGCGGGCCTCTGGAAGGACAGCAGTCTTCGTAAAATGTTGGTCCTGCTTTAGCGTTGGGGGTCCTCCCCCTGCCCCCTCACAATATCCTTCCAGAATAGAAATTCAGTTCCCTCAATGAGGGCCCTCTGCCTCCCACGGTTCTGAGGTCCTTGTGGATTGATTTAAATGGAAAAGCTGTGGATCTTTCCTATGTGTTTAGGGACCCAAAATCAATGAAAGCGGACCTCCCATATTACCCCTGATCCTGAATAAGCGGGCCCCAGAACACATTATAGCGGACCTCAAGGCAAAAGCGGGTCCAACATTAGGGCCCTTCCTGCTAGCTTGGTTAAAACTTCCTCAAACATACCAAGCCTCAAACCTAGCGCTGAACGCCTAAACCGCCAAATTCTGTCAGATTGGAAGGCCAGGCCGTTTATTGTTAGGGTTTAGGGTTTAGGGGTTCTGGCGTTTGGGTTTAGGGCATTTAAGGCGAAGCCAAAAGACCTTGACGTTTTAAGTCTCTGACGCCTTTAACCCTTGTGTTATCCTGACCAAGAATGGACGCCCAAAGGCAGGTTTCCCTGGTTTGGGGTTTTTGGCATGTCAGGGTTCAACCTTAGGAAAACAAGGGTAAGAGGATTTTGGTTTTCCAACCTCCGAACCTAGGACTCAACGGGTCCGAATTTTAGAAGTTCGTGTCAACTAGACGGACTTTATTAGATTACCCAAGAAGAGCATCCAGTGGCAACTTAGTGATGATTCCTATAGCTGAAGCCTGAGCCTTGAATACGGGTCCGAAGCCCGAAGCCCTATGCCCGTGCGCCCACCCAAACCCCACCTCAGCCTTTCAACCCTGAACCCCAAGTCTTCCAGCCTAAGCCCTGAGCCCTAAAGTACCATAAACCCAAAACCCTAAAACCCGAAAACTATGAGCCCTAAAACCGTGAGCCCTAGACTTAGACTGACCCAGGAAGGAGGTCCTGGACCTCGAGGAGCGTGTAGCCAGCGCTGCAATCTCCGACCGGCCCCAGGAAAGCCGCAAGATGTGGCCAGGATCTTGCGAGGGTTTAGGGTTAAGTGTTGGGGGATATTTCAGGGTTGAATGGTTTGGAGTTAAATTGTGTCGGTTCGGCGTTTGCAGTTGAAGGTGGTAGGGTTGAAGGTTCAGAATTTGAGACTTACTGTTGAACGTCAAAGAAGGTTTCAATCACCTGGATCATTGTTAGGCAAAGTTTGGTCTTGCTGTTCCTGATACCATATTAGGAAGATTCGTCTTCTTTTCGTGATATCTGCACCGTATCTGATAAGCGCACGCAGACAATTCACAAGTAAAATCGAGCAAACGGTCGTGCTGTCGGATTTTGAGGTCAAGAAACAGGGCCGCTAATGCTCTAACAGGTTTGGGGACATGGCAGGGATGACTTGAGGATCATCCCGTGATCGCTGACTGGGTGTCAGGATTTGGGGGTTGGCTTGGAGTCTTGGCATTCCAGGCGTTACTGGCATTTTCCGCATGCTTTTCCAAAATTATGTGTGGATTACAGCGGTCCTGCCAGGGCTATGGTGGATTACAGCGGTCCTGCCAGGGCTATGGTGTGTAGAAAACTTGGAAAAGCATCATCCAGCATCCATTGGCCTCTGCATGGGCACACTAGGGCCGAGCTTTTGCATGCCCACATACTTGCATGCATACGACTTCCCGCCTTTCTCCCCGTGGCGTGAGAACTACCTACTCCTAAATGGCCCAAGATTTGTGACCAAGGTGGCAAAAATTGAAGCCGCCTACGCTGACCGGCATGGACTTGGAAGAGCAGTCAGCACTGGAGAAGGCAGGAAAGCGTCCCGTAGCAAGCGGGGCCTAGGAATAGGATGACCGCTGTCCTTCTCAAAGCTCTCTGTAGGGGGGGAGAAGTTCCTATCCCAGGGTGCCTGCCAGGCCGTTGCTGCTGCTTACGCTGCAGTGGAGCACGTGGGGCGGTCTTCTTCCTCTTCAAGCTCCGGGCTGCAAAGGGCAGCTTCTGGTCAGATCCAGCAGCGCCCAAATGCGCAGAATGCTCCTGAGAAACGCAAACAAAGCCAGGGTCCACCTGGGGCCGCGGCCAGGACCGCGCCCCAGCTCCCCTTGGCTGACACGCAGCCAAGGGACAAGAAAGCCTTTGACTGGGATGCAGTGGAGCCCAAAGAGGAGGAGGGCAATCGAGCAGAGATCCCGGCAGTCGTGTCCCTGCCCCGTGGGCAGATCGATGTCAATCGACTGAAACCACGTGCTGCTCAAACCCATAGCGTTTGGAAAGAAAACAACCCTGCAGAATGGCAAGCCATGCAGAAGCAGGGAGAACTGGTGTCTCCCAATGAAAATCTTTTGCGCAAGCGTATCCCGGGTGCTAAGCGAAAGAACGACGCAGCACCCGCTGAAGCAAAGAAAGCTCGCCGGGATGACGTAAATGAAAGCGTCTATCAGCGGAGACAGGAGAGGTTTAACCCTGGCAAATCTGCTTCAGTCTCCTTAGTGCCAAAGCAGCAGTTAGACGAGAGCGGGGTAGCTGTTTGCAAGCCCGATCCAGAGAGCAAGGCTCGTGCAGCTGGGATGCAAGAAGACATCCAGGTGTGCGAAGGTCTGCGTAGTCCCAAGTGGCTCTGGCAAGCGCTGTATCCTTACCAGCAACGCTGTGTTCAGTGGCTATGGGGCCTGCATCGAGATAAGATGGGAGGTATTTTGGCTGATGAGATGGGCCTGGGAAAGACAGTGCAGATCATTGCATATTTGGCGGTGCTGCATCACTCTGGGGTGCTGCAGAACATGAAGGTGCAGAACACCTCTTTGGGGGCTGCAAGTGCTCCAAGCACTGGGGGAGTCCTGATAGTTTGTCCTGCCACGCTCATCAGCCAGTGGAGGAATGAGATTCACCTGTGGTACCCGCCGCTGCGCGTTTGCGTGATGCATCAGCTGAACGAGGAGGACCGGAAAGAATCTATCAAGCAGGCCAGTTCCCACCAAGGGGTCCTCATCACATCATATGAGACGATGCGGATTGCGATCGATGCCTTGCTGGAAGCGACCTGGGTCTTGGTCATCCTTGACGAAGGTCAGAAGATCCGAAACCCGCATGCCAGCATCACCATCGCATGCAAAAGGTTTAGCACTGCCCACCGGATCTTGCTGTCTGGCTCTCCGATCCAGAATAACCTCCAAGAGCTCTGGTCGCTGTTTGACTTTGTCTGTCCTGGCCGCTTGGGCACACTTCCTGTCTTCACAGAGGAGGGAGTTTCCCAACACTACATTATTGCAACTCCAGAGCCCTACAATCCCCTGTAGTCTCCACATATCCCAGAGTATAGGGTTTAGGATTCAGGCCCTAGGGTTTAGGGTTTAGGAGCCCTGAAATCAATTGACATCACATTGACACTCCCTCAGGAGTTCGCACAGCCGATCGAGAATGGAAACCTGATGGGCGCGACTGAGGTGTGGGTCTTCTAAAGGGCTCCCTCAAACTGTGGGTACATCATCGTAGGGTGAGCTAATACTTGGGTAGATGCACCTTTACTGCATGGTTTGGAGCTCAATCGTTACATGCCCAGGTTAAGATCCGAATAAGCATATGACTATAAGGCCATATTTACCGCCATATAAATCCAGTTTCCATCTAATTTTCCATTTTCCTATGCTTCTCCATTATAGCTTTGCATAACACTATGCAACCCCTTTAAGGTTTAAGGTGTAAACTTGACCCTAAACCCTAAACCCTAGACCTGGAGGTCAAGATAGCCGCAGCTTACCAATGTGCACTAGCTCTTCGGGAGCTGACGGAGCCATGTATCCTTCGGCGGACTAAGGCCAAAAAGCTCTTCACTTGCTTGCTAGCTATAGTTACCCTGAAGTAGATAGAATATGGCTTTGGGACGATCCCCATATAATTGCCCCATATTCTATCTACTTAAGGGGGGCTATACTTACAGCTGCTCCCTGAAAGGGCATTTCTAACGGAGTATGCAGGGACATTCAGGGTTGAGGGGTAAGGATTTAGCCCAACTTTGAGGCAGGCGCTTGGTAACTACTTGTAACTCGCGTTGTATATAACCCTGTTTATAGTTGGGGCAGCCTATAGAAGCACGGGGAAGCATAAGGAGGATCCTCACCCTAGCTGTAGATGGTGGCGAAGTTCCATGCGCTACCTACAGACTTATTGCAAGAGGTGTATAGAGGCAGCGTGGCGCCATATAGAAAACCCATGTGGCAGTTTTGAGAAGTTAGGTTTGTTGGGCGGCCCCATGACTGATAAGGATTACGAGCTATGTGGGCGGGACACCTATCATAGGCAGTTTAAAAATTGTACGTACATACATACATACATACATACACACACATACATACATACATACATACAGACATACATACATGAAGTGCAAGTTTTGCTGTTGCGATTCATTGCATCGTTCCCAAAGGTCAGCAAATCTGTAAAGAATTGATTTGGAGGCCTGTATATAGTATAATATAATGTCATATATACATATACATTCATAAACAAAAGCACGTGAACCCTGTGGTACCCATCAGAATTCCTCCCAGGCAGTATAGACTGCTTGTACATTTGAGCAACATGTAGAACGCCCACTAGATTTCCAGAAGCCGCTAAGAATCGATATGATGATTCCTGAGCGGCAGGCTGAATGCATGGATGTGCTGAAGTTGCCCACGAAGCAGGAGCAGGTGGGTAGCTATGTGGCCAGGGTAAGAGGCACATATGAGTTTCTCGAAGTTGGGTTGCCCTCATGGCTCCCGGGGATGTCGGAGGGGATTACAAGACCTCACGAGCGTAGGGGACGTGCTGCAGACGTTCCAGAATCCACCCATGTTGTCTGGCCGCTAAGGCGGCGATGAAGAGATAGAAGCATGAAGCCCTGAACCCTAAACCTAAGCTTGGAGGAGGAACCCAAAACCTAGAATGCCATAAGCCAGGACCCCCCATTTTCAACCCAATATAATATAGTGTAATCCTTATTATGGGAATTCCCAACCCTAAACCCTAAACCCTAAACCCTTACTTCTTGGACACGCCCAACTTCTGAGCAGCTGAAAGATCACCTCGCAGGTGCTCTTCTGCCACCTCACTGCCGAGCAGTATCACCTCTATGTCCCTGGACAACAGACAATCGGGGGATTATGGGGACTTGGGGTTTTAGGGTTTAGGGTTTAGGGTTTTTGGTGGTGATGATTGGTTGATTGGTTGCTTCACTGACAGGATGCTGACCAAGACGCGTAACGTTTCATGTTTCCATTTTGGTCCGGCTTATCCTCACTGACACTGCTATAACTGGGTTCAACTTTTGTTTGAGGGAGAGCAACTAAATCTGCAGGCTTCTGAGTTATAGAATTGTGTTACAGGGAGGAATCCATTTTGCGGGGGTGGTTTCTGCTGTTAGGAGGGGATGGGTGCGTCAACACTTCCCCTTGGGTCGTAGAAGCACCTAGGGACCTTGCCATTATTTCCAATAACCCTTGTGCTCACTGTAGGCGGCCCTGAACCCTTGACCCTAAACACGAAGCCCCCAATCCCAAACCCTAAACCGTTTTCGCTTGATGTGTATGGATCCATGCTTTCTGGCGGAGGAGCGCTTAACCGTTCTGAACCGCAAACCGTTCTGAACCTTAAAGTTCCTAACGATTCTCGTGGAAGTGGGACCCATAATTAAAGACTGCCTGAGAACATACCAACAGCCTCCCTGAGTTTATGGTTCAGGGAGGTTCCAAAAAGTGTTCCACTATCGGTCCCCCTTATGGGGGGGGTGTTCACAATAAGTAGTACTCCTTGATAGCCTAGAATGAGGATTCCAAAATTTCAGGGTTTGCATTGGGGTCCCCTATTTGTCGAAACATACGAGTCCCCTGAAGGTGTTCAAAATTCGCCAAGCTAAAACCCAGGTTCAATTCCTTGAGACGGAGCAGGCTCGAAGGGCAAAGGCGGCCTCAACGGACAGGAAGGCCACACGAGTAGTATTTCTGGGTAGGCCCCCGGGATATTTAATATTTTCCCTAATGGCTTCAATAAGGGACCCCATGTACTAACATTTTTCAAAGGGTTTTTGGGGCCAACCCTGATTTTGTGTGTGTGGGGGATGTTATTAACTTGGGAGCTTAGCAGTATTTTGAATGGAGGTGCAATAGTCCCCTATAAGGAGTATGAATATGAATATATCTTCCTTATGGTTTTTGCCTCCTCGTAGAGTAAGAGTATGTCTTCCTTGTTGTAAAGGCTCCCAGATAGAGAGTGCTTCTTTTGGGGCTCTTAAATTCAAAGAGAGTGAGATCATGCTTCCTTTTGGATGCAGTATTTTTCTTCTTCTCAGGTCTTTCTTCTCCTTCTTCTCATAATTGCTGATATGACTAGTGCTCTTCTTAGTACTATCATTATTGTGATTTGTCTTCTGCGTCTTGTGTCCATCTAACACCCAAAAATGCTATCTTTGTTATGGTTATTCAGAAGGATTTATCCACTTACGAACTGTGCTCACAAAGGATATTGGAAACAATTTTTTGGGTCTTAACATGTTCCTACTATCCACCATTGGTGGTGAGTCACCTAAGTTATGGTAGGTTGCGATTGTTACTCTGATGTTTCTTCTTCTTGTGACGGTTTGTTTTGGTTGGATGTACAGTGAAAATGTGAATTCATTTAGGCATGGCCTGATGGCACAGTAGAGACAGAGAGAGAGAGAGAGAGAGAGAGGGAGAGCGCGAGAGAGTGAGCCTTAACAAGAAGAAGATTCAGGCATCGCCAAAGCATGAGCCTTTTTTTCCCTAGGTCAAAACCGACCGTGCAAGGCACCTTGGGGTGCGCCTCAACACCTTGAACCGTGCCTGCAGTCCTGGAAGCCCTGAACCCTAAAGCAACCCCACGCTGACCCCAAGAAAAAAGCCATGGAAGGCCCTTGGTGCCGTCTTCTTCGCCCTTAGCGTTCTCCGGAAGCTGTGCAATCACCCAGATCTTCTCTTGAACAGTCATGAGGACTTTCCGAAAGGTTAGGGGTTCTTTGGGAGGCGCATGGGATAATGTAGGGGGTAAAGCTGGGGGGGTGGTCTAGGGTTAAGGGTTTACTTTGGGCAGTCCTTAGAAGAAGGACTACAGAATTTTGGGACTCCTGATTTTCAAAATCCCCACGAGGACAAGGACGAGAACGGGGAGGAGCTCTGGAGTTTTCAGAAGTCTGGCAAGATGAAGGTCTTGGCAGAAATTCTCAAGCTGTGGCATCGCGATGGGCACCGCGTCCTGATCTTTGTGCAGACTGTGCAGATGCTGGAGATTCTGGAGTTGTGGATGAGCCGGGTCGGCTACACACATTCGCGGATAGATGGCAAGACTCCCGTCAAGCGCCGCTTGAAGCTTATTGAAGACTTCAATGAGAAGAACGATCTCTTTGCAATGCTTCTGACCACACGCGTGGGAGGGGTTGGCTTGAACATCATTGGCACCTTGCCTGATCCCCTTGCATTTTTCATAATCATGTTGAAGGTATTCCGCCGTGCCTTCCCTCAAGCATCAACCCATCCTCCGCCTACCGCAGCGGGTCCTTTGATCTCAGGTAACCAAGGACCCAGGTCAAAAAAGACGCAGAATTTTGTGTCCAGCAAAGCGTGCACTATGTAAAGCAGAAGGGATTGGGCGCGTGCGACCTCTCCGCGGGATGATGGACAATTCTCAAATCAGGGACCCCGTATTCCATTGGTAACCTCCACATATCCTGGTGTCCCAGTTGGGTTTTGAGATGTTCCATGATGACGAGGAGCGGACAGGGTCTTGATCTTCGATCCAGATTGGAACCCGATGACTCTTCGGATTGTTGGAAACCATTTTACATTTTTGATCAAACCTGGTGTGACGTTTCTGCAGGAGCCCAGACACCCTAGACCTCCAACATCCCCTAAGTGCCCCAACTCTCAACGCTTAACGTTAAACTCCCCAAACTCTGAGCCCTAAATCCAAGCAAGATGCCAGGACTGATGTGCAGGCACGCGAGCGCGCCTGGCGCATCGGTCAGAAGAAGGAGGCGGGTATCCCCCAACTTTTGATTTTGTAGTTTTTACTTAGGGAGTGTTTAGGATTTAGGGTTTTTAGTTTTTAGTGTTTGGGGTTAAGGGCCCTACAAAGGGGTTATAAAGATATGGAGGGTTTAAGGTTAAGCGTTCAGAGTGCTGTCCGGGCTCAAAAAGGTTCAGGGTAGCAAGCCTATTTAGTAAGTACGGGCTATGCGGCTTAGGAGGGCATGGTAAATAGGTTACTAAGTCAAAATGGCCTTGAAGTAATTTTAAGGTTCAACAGAAAGTCTCAATATAAACCCTAGCATTATCGTCCTGACTATGGGGGCTTTCTAAATGGACCCCTACCTTTTGGACCACCCGTTCAAATTAGTTTACCTGGGGTTGTTAAGGATGGCGGAATATCTTCAGATCATGATCTCCATTTGGTTGTCCTGTTTTTGAAAGAAGAGTAGACTCTTGTCTGGCTCAGCAAACCGCACAAACTTTTTTTGGGTAGTCCCCCTAAGAATAGAGCCCCCTAAACCCCTAATGGTTGAAGTGCCTAGTGTAGTACCACTGTGCCTTGGGGGGTCGATTTGCTCAGTTGGAGATTGATTTCTTGGTTGATAGCGGCAGGTGAGAAAAGAAGAGAGCTGCTGTTCAGGGACTTCTGCACCACCCCAAGTGCCTTCCCACGTAGCTTAAGTAAGCAATACACCTTAAACTTAAGCCGTATTCAGGGTCCTGGTATAATTTAAGGTGTATTCCTTAAGCTATATTGGGTTCTCTGGGCTCAATCCCCCTTGTGCAGGCATCGCTAAGGACTCGAAGGGCAGTTTTACTTGATTCTCCATCACTTGTTGTACATTCCCCAAACGCGCCCAGAATGGAACAGAGGAATGGCTTAAACCCTAGATCAGCGAAGGGGATGTTGAATGTATACGTCTGAAACCAGTGGCTATAGCCTCAAACCCTAAACGTCTAAGCATAGCTTTGCCCGCGGGAGCAGGTGTCCGTCTACAGACTGGTGCTTACTGGCACCGTGGAAGAGAAGATCTACCATCGCCAAGTCTACAAGCACTTCTTGGCGCAGAAGGTGCTTCAGGACCCAAAGTACTCCCGCATAAGCTCAGCCGGACATCTGCGTTGAGCAGGGATTGAATGCCTCCTGCCCCTTAACTCCCAATGCGTTGGCAATGATTGCAAGCACATTCTACCCCCAATTCTTTACATAAGCTCCTCGCAGCCCTCCAAAATCCTGCAAGTCCATGTCGTAATCCTTAAGTCCCAGCCCTGCAGAAGCCTTAGAAACGTCCATGCGTGGCCCGAAGCTCGAAGCAGTAGATCCTAAACACACAAATGATGCAGGATCCCCGCCAGAGGCGCTTCTTCAAGTGGAATGACATTTCGGACCTTTTCGAGGCCAAGAGTCGGGGGTTGCTGACAATTGTGGTTAGGGCTGGAGGGCTTTTGTTGTCCTATAAAACATGATAGCAGTCCGCGCAGGCACCTTTTTGGGGCTCCATGTTATTTTGGGCGAGAGTCCTTTCTGAGATTTTTCTAGAGGTTATTGTTCTTGTTACCCGGACGCCGCGAAAAGGGTTGTGGGTTTCAGGGTGGAGGGCGGACCATTGGTTTTCTGCTGTAGGGTTCAGGGGGGGAAAATCACCCTAAACCCTCAACCCGGGTTTCAAACTGCGACAGCTTCTGAAGGCTGTAAGGGGATCCGTAGTGTCCTTGCCGTTTGGCCGTTTTATACAGTGGCCTTGTCTTGTGGACCGTCTTGAAGCATTCGGCAGATGGAAAAGGCCCGACAAAAACAGACCGTGTTTTGGGGTTTGGTGAACTTCGTTTCTGATGCCCTAGGCCCTAAACCCCAACCCGTACACCCTAAACAAACTGTGTTTTGGGATTTGGTGTACTTTGTGTCTGTTGCGGGTAAAGCAGGGTCCCTACAATGCATGGGCGACCTTGCCATCTCTTGTTTTAAGCTGCCTTTTTCCCCACACTTGTCCCATCAACTGAGATTTCCCAAATTAGGGATACCTACCTTTCTTTGGGGCCCCTATAGTAAGGATTATAGTATTTCGGGGTCTATATGAGCTATTGTCTAAACTCCTAGTATCCCCCTTAATAACCCTTTAGTAGTCCCCTATATAATCCCTATATATACCCCCCTTTAAGGAGTTTAGACTATGGCTCACCCTAAACCCTAAACCCTAAACCCTAAACCCTAAACCCACTGCCAAATTTTATGGGCTGGGAGGTGCCTCCGCCGCCGCCAAACGTGACAAAGATGGATGTCCTGGCACTCAAGAAGAAGTATCTGGGTAGGCCCCTGGAATATTTAATGTTTTCCCTAAGGGCTTTATTAAGGGATCCTATATACTAACATTTTTCAAAGGTTTTTTGGGGCCAACCCAGGTATCAATCAGCCTTTGGCAAGCTCGACAAGTTTGGGGACGTGGGCGAATTCGAGGTTGAAACAACTGAGATCATGAAGGCAGTTTCAGAGCCTTTGACATTGTTTAGACCAATGCTTTAAATGGGACTGCTGAGAAGTAAAGTTGTAGGTATGATGTTCGTGGCAGTGCTGCCAGCGCGCTGGTCATACTAGTTCGCCAAGCACCAGCCGTAGGCAGCAACGCCAAACCCAAAGCATGAAGCCTTTGCCTGAAGACCACGGTTGCGACTCAGGACCTGCCCATGAAGGAGCAGCATAACACCAGCAAGAGCACCAAGGATCCGGCTAGAGTTGAGGTTAAGGGTTAAAAGAAAAGGGTTTAGGATATGGATTTTGTTTGGTTTAAGGGTTTTGGGTTTGGGAGAGGAAGGTTCAGGGTTTCATGGTTTTGGGGCTTGGGCTAGGCTTTAGGATTGGTTTGGGGTTTAGGGCCTGGGGAGGAGAAGGTTTGGGGTTTTAAGTCAGGGCTTCAGGGTTAGAGGACGAATAAGACAGCCTCTGTAGACTGTGAACGGTCCTTTGTGCCTGAAGAAGTTTAAAGATCATCCGCGAGTGGCACCGCATTCAGGGTCTGGTCTCTGGGGTGGTTCAGAGCAATCCCCTGGGTTGACATTAAGGAATTTAAGCACTTTGTATCCAATTTCTATAATGACTCTAATTTACTGGTTAGGCCCCTGGGATATGTAATAATTTCCCTAATGGCTTTAATAGGGGACCCTATATACTAACATTTTTCAAAGGGTTTTAGGGGCCAACCCAGTACATGGTAACGTAAATTAAACTTGCTGAACAGTAATCCAGTCCAAAGCCTAGTCATCCTTGAGCCCCGAAAGAGGGGATTAGGGTATAGGGACTAAATAAACCCCAAACCTCAAACCCAATAGTAGTTTCCATATCATTTTCCATTATCCCTATATAGCCCTAATATTTTCCCTAATGGGCTCAATAAACCAGGGTTTAGGGTTTAGGGTTTACAGCTCTTCCCGGGCTGGATGGATGCCTGGACTGCCTGGAGCTGTAACGGGCACGCTTCTGTCATTGGCGCCTGATGGTAGCCTATATAGTCCCCCTTAAGTAGATCGAATACGGGGTATATGGAGATCTTATTAAAAGAAAACCCAGAGCCATATTCTATCTAGTTAAGGGGGCCTATAAGTCTTGGAGTTACCCCAAACCGCAGTGGCAACACCCTGAACCCTAAACCGCGAGGATGAGAGCAATGCAATCCTCCAGACGCTGTACGACGCGCAAGGGATTAAGGCCAGCTTTAACCATGAAGCTTGGACAAAGCCATTAGGGTTTAGGGTCCTGGGCGGGAATTGGGGCAGGACAAGTATCTAGTTAGGATGCCTTTCTCGGAGTTCTGTAGGTGTTATAAGGATTGAAAGGCATTTGCGGGGATGAGGGTTTAGGATAAAAGAGCATAGAAGTTGGGTCAACGTTTTGAAGTGTAGTCCCGTGATTTAGAGCTAATGCTAAGGTTGAGCGTGCCGGATCGAGGGTTTTAGTGCTTCAGCGTGCGGATTCTACCAAAGTTTTGTGATGTACTTGCCTGGCACTCTTCCCCTGTCAAACATGGGAGTGTTTGTTGGTCACCTGTTGGTCCATGTATTCCAGGTAGAGCTGCTGGGAGCGAAGCCCTCGAAGCCGCAAACCCCTCGCACCAAAAACTTGCTATCACCAGGGGATTGGTTTGGGGCTGTGCCAACTCCACATGCTTAGGCCTTTGTACAGGCATGCAGCCTGGTAGATGTAGCCTAGCATCATCCGTAATAGCCGAGTAGGATCCGGATCGAGTTGGCAACCTTTGACATTTCGGGGTATGTCCATATATGTTTGTAGAGCATTACCAGGCTTGCATCTGTTTTGGGCCGGCCGGGAAGCTCGGCAACTCGGGAAGCCCTGTAGCCGAAGCCTAGGATAAAGTGGAGCAGACGTTGCTGGATCGAAAACTTGTGACTTGGTTTCAGAGCCACGTTTCAGTTTTGAGATGTGGGTTTCGTAATTGTTGAAGGCATTTTTCAACTTCGAATTTTCAGAGCTGTCTAAGGCCTCGCGCTTCGGTCGGGGCTTGAGGATAAGGGTTGTCGCTCTAGAACACGCCACCATGGGAGTACGTCCAAATTCCTTTGAGCAAGGATTTGTCAGCGACTTTCTTGAGCGCTTTCAACACATCACGTGAATTGAAGTAGGAGTCTGTACCGATTAGGGTCCCTGCCCTCCACCCACACAAACAGAACAGCCCACGTTGACAAGAACGCCAAATAGTGACCAATACGTGTGAGGGAGGATGAAATTCTATTTCAATCCTGGCCCTGCCAGGCCCCAAAAGCCAGCGCAGTTTGATGAGCCTCAAGAACCCCAGAAAGCTCGCAGCGGGCTTGTAGCAATCCTGATTTCTGCACACTTATCCATTAAACCTGCACCAAAACATCGCGTGCTACTCCGCTGAGCTGACAGCCGCGCTGCTTGCCAATTATGTTATGTTATTACCACCTCATGTTCTCCTCATGTTCTCCTTTTGAAAGATCTCGTGATCTTGCAGGTTTAATATCTGGTGAACGGGATTAATACAGGTGGGGCAGAGCGCCAACCTCGTTGCCCAGCGTGCTCTCGACGCCCTGAAGCGCTCCTCACGCGAGCGCTCAGCGCATCACATCAGTGGCTTAGCACATTTAGGGGGGTTTCATATGGTCAAAGGGATTTTTCTGAGTGTTCAAGTTCTCGTCAAAGCTGCAATGCTTGATGTGCTTGTCTTTCCTTCATCGGCATTTTCAGTAGTATTGTCAGCACGTTTGGGGCTGCACTATGATAGGCACGGACTGGACACGGATGTTGTAGAACAGGGGCTACTTTCAGGATCTCTTACTCTTACTGTGCAAAGGGTCATCCTAAGCTTCAAACTAGTTGTAGTCGGAACAGCAGCATGCTGGTCATGATTGGTGCTTACTCGTCAGTGCAGTACAGGTAGGACGGGTACAAGAGGAGTTTATAGCCTAGTGATTTCTAAACTTGGTTGAGTATGCATGCGTTTGGCAAACGGAAAAGTTTTTCGAGTTTTCAGGGTCAACCTTTCTGTGAACCCTAGATCCTAAACTCTAAGCCTTAAACCCTAAACCCTAAAGATTGAACCCTAAACCCTACACCCTAACTTAAAACCCTAACCCCTAAATCCTAAAGATTAAACCCTAAACCCTGCAACCTACACTTAAAACCCTAAACCATATCCTCTAAACCCTAAACTTTAAACCCCTAAACCCTAAACTTTACACCCATTTTGGCTCAAGAGTTGCAGCGTCAAAACAAAGTGCATGCAATGGAGCGTGCCCGAGGCGTGAACAGTTCGCCGCAGGGATTGGCGGATGGAAGGTCTCTGCGAGGCCGCGGACGCCCAGCAGAAGCCGAACAGACACCGCCAACCGAGCAAACCCATTGGTTTGAAAGGTTCCAGGACAGCCGTCGCATCGCAAGTAGAAACAATCGAGATGCAGCTGCAAGCGCCAAGCCCAAGCCCGCTGCAGGCCGCGGCAGAGATCCGGCACTTCTCTCGAAGTCGAAGGCTTCGCCAGCTTCGCCCCCGGCTACTCCGCACCCGGCTGCGGCGTCGCCGGCAGATCATTTCTCCACACAGGTATTTTTGTTTTGGCAAGCAAATCCAGGCTACTCCTCAGTTCATCCAAACACTTCATCTTCAGGGTAATCATCTAGACTTCTACGACAAAAAGGAGGCCTGGGGATACATGGTGCACAGCTACCATTTGAAATTTCTTAAGATGTGGGATCACATCAGCCAGCATGTGACCCCACAGACGCAGAGCTTTGATGCACATGTCGTTGCCCGCCCTTCAGGAGCGCAACAGTCCCACACCGGATGTTATCACTATTGTTTACCCCCAATTCAAGAATCACAATGTGGGACAGAGTCTCCTGCTCTTTCAGCAGCCAGCCAGTCAGCTTGCAGGCCGATCAGGGAAAGTACCAGTGAAGCCATTAGTTGGGATAGGTCTCCAATAAGAAGAAAGCATCACAAGAGAAAATCATTTAGATCAAAAAGCCACCAAACAACCCCCCTGGCTACTCCCATAAAATACCTACTTATAACTTGTTGCATCATGTATTACTACACCTCAGACAACAGAACAACAATCCCCATAGTAATGATGGATGCTTTAGTAGTTGCAACTACTTGTCAGGCAACTTTTGGCTTTCTCACATCATACCTGCAATCCCTACAAGACAACATCAACAAGTTGCAGCACATCACTACAGGAAACCCAAGACTACTCCTCCTAGATCAGCTAATACCAAAGCAGAGACAGATCATCAGCTTGGAAACCCTGCTTCAGGACTCAGAAGATTCAGTAACGTATTCTAGATCTCTGCTGCTAAGTCATAGACCCCCTAAGGCAGATTTAGAAGCTCCGCTTCTCCCGCTTGTTTCTCACAGACCACTCCGCCAGCGCAAACGCAAGGGAAGAAGAATTCATATTAGAACGGCTCAGAGAGCACGTATAAACACTAAAGTACAAACCAAAACACATTGTGCTAAACAGTCAAGCATTTTTCCCTTGACTATTCCTCATAGGAACACAAGGGATAAAAGAATTCATAGAATTCACAGAATTCAATTTGAAGCTAGTCAGCCAGCACCGCCGCCACGCGGCGCGCCGGGTGCCGCTTCGGCGGCAAACGAAGAGTGCCAGCCCCCACCCCTTAAATCCCGCTCCCTTTCAGGCAGGGGCGCCAGGGTTCAGCGCAGACGCCTATATAGGCAATGGCGCGGAGCTTGTAGGGAGCCGATACGACCGCTACGCTTGGGCAAGGTAGTGGCCAATAAGGGGACGCCCCGAAGAGCTGCAAGCCAGCCATCAGGGAAACAAAATGCAAAATTATTTCGTCATCTCGTGCTGACGCAGGGACTCCACCAGGGCCCCCAGAGACAAAAAATCCGTAAACCAATGGCTACTCCTCAGCTAGAGTACGGGTTTAGTCTCAAACTGGGTACCCAAAATGTCCAAGGGATGGCTGAAATACTTAAGCATCAACAAGTTCTCGACATTATGATAGACAAGACAATACATATCATGATGTTAACGGAAACAAGAAACCAGTCATACTACACATATAACTCCCAGGGCTACTTATGGGTTCTCAATGGTAATAAACTAGATAAGTATGCAGGGGTGACAGCTGTGGTCGCCCCGCACATACGCCCTTTTATACAGGATGTCATACAACACACCCCTCGAATTTTGCAATTGACATTATCTTTGCAAAGTGGCAAAATCCATATAATAGGAGTATATGCCCCTCATGACAAGCTTGACTACTCCTCAGTAAAAATCCCTTTTTGGCAACAATTACAAAAGATTGTCTCCAGCATTCCACTACCAGAATCAGTTTACATTGTAGGTGACTTTAATGTCAGGCTCCAAGGTAGAATGAGGGGAGAGCATTCCATGATAGGACCCCATGTGTTTGGAAAAGGACACCTTTATGCAAAAACTGGCCCAGAGAGAAATCGAACATTGTTCACAGATTTTTTGTCATCCACAGAGTGTTGTGACTGTATCACCTTCAAGACCCCAAACCCAGTTAGGCAAATTACGTACAGGGAAAAGTTCCCCCCTCCCAAATCATGGCTACAGTTTTCCGCGGACCCATTACCACTCCTCCACTTCTGGGATATAGTGGCGGCCCTTCCAACAACACTAGAGAATTCCCTAGAGATAGGACAAACAATCAGAGCCTTCATTACTGACCATTCTTTGATAGACTCGGTACCAACTACCCCATGCAATGACCCCACCCTATTCCAATCACTAGACAAGATAATATGCCGCAGGCCATGGCTGCCAACAGTTAAACAAGCTTATGCAAATCATACCACAGGCTTCCCCAGCGATCACTACCTTTTAATCTCGCACATACAGGTTAAACCCGGCAGTAAGCCACCTAAACCTCCAGTCCCCATTAAGTACGACTACTCCTCTGACCCTCAAAAGATAGCTTCCTTCAACAAATCTTTCAGATCACAGTACACGGGGCAAACTCAGATGATCAGTCAGACTACTCCTCAGCAACATATCAGTTTTTATACGGACGGTTCCGGCTCTTCAGGTAGAGCTACTAAATCCAGCTTAGCGGGATGGGGTTTTGTAGGATACTTTAGGAATTCTGTGATCGTAGAGGCTTCCGGTCCTGTTAACGTAGACGAACAATCCCCCCCTTTTTTCCAGGGGCAGGGGTAGCCAGCAATAACACAGGTGAATTATCAGCCATCATGGAACTACTCCTATACCTTGCACACCCGGGAAGTCAATACGGGACAGCTACCATACATTATGACAGTAAGTGGGCTGCTAACATGACCAAGGTACCGCTAGGCCAAAAAGAAACAAGCGTATGGTGAATTTGGCCAGATTACTCCTCCATAAAGTCCAGGACACTCAGGCAGCCAGGGCAACGAAGCAGCAGACAATTTAGCGGAACGGGGTAACACATCTTCAGAATCCACAGGTGGGAGATACGATCACGAGCCTCCTTTGCTACTCCGCGATCTAACACTAGATACACACGCGCAACCAGCGGCTGAACCGGTCGATTCCAAGTATGAACGTATCCTTAAAGCAGCACAGCACGCAGAGGCCGTCACCTTCGCGCCGATTCAACATGCCCCACGGCGACCGTGGATTTCTCAGGACACCATACAAAAACTCCGACACGCCAAACAGCTTAAGGCCATGGAGGACCCGCAATACAAATCTTCTTATAAGGAAGTCAAGAAGCAGGCCCGAAACGAAAAACGAGACTGGACCAGGGGACGCCCGCCGCTTGAAGAAAGGATTCCAGGAATGCAAACGGAGACCCGTGGTTAACGGAAAACAAATTCCTTGGTCGCAAACACATACAGCGTTCGCGCAACATCTCACGCACACGCAATGGTGACCCAGCACAGTTTCCGAGGAAGAGCATCAAATCCTTCTCCAGACTACTCCTCTATACCCTCAAGATCAGACGGAGCTTCCACTTTTTACGATGGAAGAATTGCAAGCAGCCTTGGCTAAAGTGCGTAAAGGCAAAGCAGCAGGTCCGGACGGGATGCGTTTTGATGTTATTAGGCTTTTGGATTACTACGGGGAACAACAATTGCTAGACCCATATAATCAATGCCTTATCACTCGGACAGTCCCTAAAAAATGGAAAGATGCTATAGCTGTTTCGTTCTATAAAGGAAAGGGAGACGACGCGGATCCTTCTAATTACCGCCCCATCTCACTTCTTAATACCACATACAAAGTATACGCCGCCATGATGGACAGATTGTCAACTTTATATGATTATAGATTACGTAAAACCCAATACGGTTTAAGGAAAGACAGAAGCACCCACCAACCACCATTCATTCTAAGACGCCTTCAGGACTATGCTGCCCGTACCGGTGCCCCCTTCCATTGTTTGTTTATAGATTGGAAGCAAGCTTCTGACAAGCTCGACCACTCCTCAATGAGTATCGCACTAAAAAGGCTGGGAGTAAATCAGCACTACTTAGACATAATTCAAGACATATACACGGATCCCATTTTTTATATGGTAGGAATGCGTGGAGAAAAATGTCAGGCTACTCCTCACACGGGCATCAGACAGGGCTGCCCTCTTAGCCCTTATCTGTTTGTAATGGTACTATCCGTTATACTAATTGACGTAGACGATAGACTACCTAAACATGGCATCCCCACTAACACTTGGTCAGTTGGAAAACCAGTCTATGATTTAGAGTATGCAGATGATACATTACTGTTCGGCATTAGCGTACAGGTGGTGGAGGAATATCTAACACATCTTCAAATAGAGGCCTCGCTATACGGACTACTCCTCAATCTAACCAATACAGAGCTACTACGCCATCCTAAGTTGGGAGATGAACAGGTTCACCTTGTTAACGGCGATGCAGTACCTATCACGGATTCCGCTAAGTATTTATGATCACAGGTATCATGGTACAAGCTTACCCTAACTGCCCTGCATCACAGATTCTCCCTCGCGAAGACTTCTTTCAATAAGTTGCAACATCTATGGCGTAGCAGGTTGAGTAGAAAAATAAAGGTACACATTTTCCAAGCGAATATAGTTAGTTCGTTGATCTATGGGGTCGCTACGCTAACAATGGAACCTAAGCATTTTGCCAAACTAGACGCCTGGTATTTCACGCTTTTACGCAGGGTTCTAGGTATCAAAGCCTCATACTATTCCAGAATCCCCAATAAAGAAGTTTGGGCCCAAGCAGGTAAACCCGTTCTCCCATCACAGTTAGTTCTGTCACGACAATTCTGGCTACTCCTCCAAGCCATACAGGCAAGCAACATGGAACCACAGCACCATGTAGTCTTTGCCCCTGCATATAAGGACAGAGTAGGAATGCACCGTAACCACAAAAAGAGGCCCTCCTCCTCCACATTGGTTGTCTTTAGTTACTAAACTAGCGTTAGAGTATTATATTCCAGAGGTCAGTTCAAACCCAGATCAGCGTCAGGATCTATTGGGGTTGAAGCAGTACTTAGACCACTCCTCCGATTTCCCTGATCGGCTGGTGGCAGCGCCAACGCGCCACCCTTTTAAGTTTTCCATCTTCGCGACAAGCATTGGCAGCGCATGGCTGTCATAAAAACCTACACTTGAAACACTAAACCTTAAACTTTAAAGCCTAAACCCAAAATGGGTGTTTCCCAAAATTAGGGATACCTCATTAGGGGTCCCTATAATAAGGATTATAGTATATTGGGGTCTCCCCCTAAACCCTAAGCCCTAAACTCCAAACCCTTAACCGCCGTGCCTGCACTGCTGTGCGATGCGCGTGTCTAAATCCTAAACCCTAGCAAATTCCCAGAGGTGAGCCAACCTGGACCGGACAGCGGGGTCGAGCGGGGGCTACGGTCAAGCAGGCCGGGGCAGGTTCCTTTCAAGGATTAGGGGGACCATGATGGGACCCTAACTTTGGGAACTGCCATCTGTAAGGGATGCACGGGGATTTTTAGGGTACATGGGGGTATAGGTTCATAGGGTTTAGGGTTCAGTGATTTTCCCCAAGATTGGAGTATCCAATGGAAAAGAATATGGACAATGAAACAGAAACTGCGTTTCGGGATTTTGGGGGTTTTATTAGTCTTACACATCTGAATGACCTTAAGATAGTAGAATACCAGAATTTCCCAGGATATAGGCTCAGTAGGGCCATGCAGGATTTTTCTGAAGTTAGAGGGAACAACATCTGAGGAGTAGGAAGTTGCAAGGGACACGCTGCAGCGATGACTTTGCGTGTTCTGAGACCTCTTAAGAGAACCTCGCAGCTGAAAAAGAATAACACTCTAAGAAATTGTTGCCTCTTGTAAGAACCATGACCTTTTGTTGGGAACCACTTAGTACTACTTGCTTGGGCACCTTGCTCCTTCGAGCCTGAAGAGTGTACCCTAATATTGACAGCCGTGCTGTAGGGGTACAGGCTCTCACAAGTTTGCAAGCGTGTCTGCTTGCCCGAAGGGCTCCCAAAAGAGAGAGAAAGCCACCCGTGGAAGCCAAAACATGGTTGTCACTCATGGAGGTGTTTGCTTTTGTGCGAAAATTCATCTTTTGTGCGAAAAACCCGCATACGGATAATGCTTTCAGATGGTTTTGTGGCTCAAGCTTGAGAGCTTAGGTTTGGAAGGAGTTTTGCCTCCATCGTAGCCAGAAGAAGTGATCCCTTCCGCACAAAAAAAGCCCATCAACATCAACTATGTTCTCAACTCCTTAAAAAGGGTGCTATAAAGGATTATATAGGGGGGCATGATAAGGCTTACTAAAGGGTATACCAGGAAATTGGATTATAGCTCACAGGCAGACTAACAATGTCAATCAAGGCGATTTGGGCAACATCAGCACAGTGGTAGTTTCCAGAAACTGGGGGCCAACATAGACCCGGAGATCTTGTGATCCTTATACTTGGGATCCTCAAAAGGTACCGTTAGTTTGGGGAAACCTCCGAATCCCTACAGTAATCCCAGCTTCCATTTGATTTTCAACCTTCTCTTCCGTCTGATTCTGCTATTAGTATGGTAATATCCCTATAGATAGCCCTACCACCCAACTTTGTTTGGGAGCCTTGTTGCTGCCAGGAGCGCGAAGAGAAGATTAAGATGTCCAAGGCCCGGAAGCAGACTCCACTCCTCCTGCAGGGTTCAGGGATTAGGGTTTAGGGTCTACCGTGGAAGCGTCATGTAGTGTTAGAGGCATCCAATGTAGAGATGTTATGGTGGCTTTGGGGCCTTAAGGCCTTAGGGCTAATTAGGGTCTGGATCAGGCCAAAGGGTTTCAAAGCCCTTTGCATTTTTTTGTTTGTGCTATGTACCTGCACAGTTTTTGGGCGCTTTTGGGCTGGGGGCCCAGAGAAAGCCTGCATGCCATGCCCATAGGGGCATGCAGCTCCAAAAGAGACCCTACAAAGACAGCCAACGACTGCAGTCCTTCATACATGTGGGGCAAAGGGGGTTCAAGATTGGCTTTGGCGGAGGTGCTCCCAGCATCCTGATCCCAAGATGCTAGCACCCACCACAACCACAAACCAGAGAAAACCCTACACCCAAACTCAAAAGAGCCTTATTACCCAAACTGTCAAGCTGTCCACATCAAAGAGATCTCCCTGGAATCCCACGCCCTAGAGACCCCAAATACCAACAAACTTGTGCCATCTGGCAGAATAGGGTTCTGTTAAGCTTTCGTGGAATCAAAGGCTGTATACCCCCACAGGCCCAACTTTGACCATTCTTGCAAGCCTTTGTGGAATCATAGGGCGCTGAGCCCCACAACCCCAACCTTGACCATTCCAACTACCCCCAAATACATATACAAGGCCCCTATTATAACCCCTACAAACCCCATAGTCCCTATAGCTCCTATCACCTACACAACTCCTATAGTTCCTATAACCCTATTGTAACACCTACAGAACCCTTACAGTCTCTATTAGAACAGCTGCAAAACCCCTATAGTCCCTATAGCCCTTATTGTAACACCTACAAAACCCCGAAAGTCCCCGTGACTCCCTATTGGGACACCTACAAACCCCTAAGCCCTAAACC